ATAATCCATGCCTTAAATACCTCGGCAGTGAGAACAATTAGGCGAATTGTAACATAATTCAAAATGATTGGGAAAATAGGTTTTGGGGGGCTAAGCTTTAAATGAAATGTGATGTCAACCCTGTGTCGTATCTAATGCTTATACTACAGACATCCTTCTTTCATTCGCTTCTCTTAAGATTACAGATTTCCAAAATTATTCAAGGCACGAAACCGTTCTTACATTATCTTTTCAAGCAAAGCAAGTAGATAATATTTTGTACTTGTTCTAGAAATTGTTCATTTACCCCGATACAGAAGAATCAAGTTTTGCCTCTGACGCATAGATGGCAGAAAACGTTGTTTACTACGTAGATATACGTCCATTGTAACACGACTGGTATGAACTGGAGTTTCGCCCTTTTGGAGGAGACTACCACTTCGAAATGTGTTGCCATTCTGTTAAAGACATGCACAATCATTACAATAAGTTTGATAAATATGTATCATTCATAGCTGTTCCCGGTGTACATAAATGATATGTGTGTATTATGCCTTTGCCGTCACAAAGGAAGGTGGGTGTGTGGCGGGGTATCAATGACATGATCCCTTGGGTATTGGTGACAGGAAGCCTTGCATGACTGGATGTTTTGGGCACAGCTGATTTGATCTCGTACTTCTTACCCATTACAAGTTGGCATAAAGTGTCATATGCTTTGTGGGATGATCACACGTGTTATATTTGAAGACAACTCAAGGTGTTTATTTATTATTTTTTATTTAAAAAACACATGTACAGTACCCTCTGAAAATCCCACAGCAGGAACATGGAACTATCTCAACAATACAATTTTAGAAATTGTTTTTTGAAATAACTTCTGTTTCAATACAAATTGCACTTAATACCATAAACATGTTAGTTCAGGCCCTACATACCTAGGTTAGACTAAAGTCATTTAATGTTGAGAGTGGTTGTGTATCTACATAAGACGTTTACCACATTGGTTAAACCCACCAGCACCAACAAAGATAGGGACTCGAACCAACGGTCATATGATTCTGGCAGGTCTAAACACTGCTATGTTCTTCAATTATAAGGCGACAATGGCTGTTGAAAAAGGCGACACTAATGGTATCAATCACTGGATGGCCCGGCTCGATTATTTACAGAACGCCGCCATATAGCTGCAATATTGCGGAGCGCGGCGTTGAATAACAAACATAATCCTCAATTATAGCAAATGTTTGCGTATAGATCAATACAACAAACGCCCTCTACATTTAATTTTTATCCAAAGTTGTTTATCAGCCATAATTGTGCTCAAAATAACAAGAACACAGTAACATGAAACATATTTAGAATATATATAAACCTTCACATATTTTCTGGACCATTACAACAACTTAATAACGCGAGTGACTCGGGTGTGTGAGAGAGACTAGGGTTATAACAGGCAGTAAGCATCGATTTGATATTAATGCTGCCTCAACCATATTTTACTGTCAAATCGAATTTAGATTTGAAACACAACTTATTTACTTTTACGGATATAACGGACTCAAAGGGACTTGGAGGGAAATCCATAAAATTCACAATAATGATCAATAATAATATATGTTTTCCTTCAGATGCCTCCTGATTACAGCACACGATTAGTGTTATTTGATTTATCCAGGATCTTTGAAAGGGACGTTATGTGGACAACCTAAACATTTTATCTGCCACAATATATTATCATACTATTTCCGTATAATCACACGTTTCCTTCGGGCAAGTCTTAACAGGTCACTGGATAGTGTCAACATCAGCTGGAATACCATGCTTTTGTTGTGGAATACCTTTTTACATACGACCGCCAAAGGCCATAACTAGCTATTCAGCTTGATATATGCAAAACTTGTAATTTGAGTGAGAGAGAACTATTACTTATTTTTCAAAGGCACATCCGATATTCACAAAGGGGGTTCAGACATTTCAGCAGCTGGCATCAGCACTGCAATTTGACATTTTCTATTTGACATTGGTACTTTGCTTTCTAATGCATATGGATACCAATGAAGTAATCCTAAAGATATATATTTAAATGTTGCACTATCCGAGACAATGATGCGTACATCTTTTCTTAGATTTGATTGTTTTCGTTCTGAATAACATCGTACAGTGACTTGTCCTCCCTGGTGAGTTCATTCAATGTTGTATAGTCTTGACCATTAACATCGGAAGTGGGCACATGAATAGACATCTCTCCAGTGTTGGGCGTGTCCGTCCTTCTCAACTCTTGAGGGTCTGTGGTAGTTGTGGGAATCAATTTCAGTCTAAAACAAAGAATTGGGGTAGAAGTATGATACATGCCTATTGTACGTGTAGATGCTTGTAATTTGTGTTCCACAAACAAAGAAAACAATGTCAATAATCGGTTATTTAATATCATACAAAACTAAGTAATGAAGGAGTTACCTTCCAGCCTTCAGCAGACATATCATCAGCCCACCAATCAGCAATATTACAGCAATTCCTACTGCTCCCCCAATGACGCCGATTGTAACAGGAGATACTGGATAAGATACAAAGTCACTTTAGTCCGGTATTTAACATTTTTTTTGAATAAATATGAAATCAGCACATGACAACATACAATAGCATGGGACGTGTGTTTGATGATAGATGTGCAGAGATCAAACGTCATCAATACATGGTGACAGGACTATCTGTTCCCTGATACCCCGCCGCACATCCACCGACACACTACCCTTGTATCTTGTCATGACAGCTAGAGTCCATCTTGAAATGGCGGTTAGCGAAGAGTTGGCCACAGTCAGCTCCATAGTACTCAGGGGCGCATGCTAGTATATAGGACTGTCATATTCAAATGTATGCGGTGTCATGACCGGTTATGGGATGCAAATATGAGACAAGGTATCTACTGTCTAGGAGAGACGGTCGGGTAGCCTAGTGGTTAAAGCGCCGAAGACCCGGGTTCGATTCCCGACATGGATACAATGTGTGAAGCCAATTTCTGGTGTCCCCCCCGTGATGTTGCTGGACAATTGCTAAAAGCGGCGTAAAACCATACTCACTCACTACGATCTAGGTGATGAATGGAATGGCACGGCTGTTTTGTAATTTTCCAAGTAAGTAGTTTCGGACTTTTTATCAGTTATTTAAGCGTGAAGTAGCCTGGTGGTCTTTTCGTTACGACCTACAATCTGTGGCTTCTGGACTACTTGGTACTAGATGAAATCAATAGCACATACAACAGTTTTTATCATTTAGACAATACAATTTTGAAGACATACTGCCAGTCTGTGGGACTCCAAACTGCTACGGGTACCCATTGCGTAAACACCTGGTTTCATCGCTGATTTTTAGCGATCCATTCATATAATTATCACCGTTAATTTGGAATTTGCGCCTCATGGAATCTGTTTCGTCCGTTATTCAAAACTTGTTATTCTACAGCAAGTGCCATCAACACATCATCTTTCCGAGGCAAGGGGGTTTACTGAGTTTAAAAGTCCAGTTTCCACCCTTGCCGAACTGGGCTGGAATTCCTGGGCTCGATCGTAGCGCCACCAGTGGCTATTGCGGGTGTCCTTTCTATGCCTCTCCTACTGACCAATCAGATTCAACCTCTCGTATCACTTGCATTTGCTTCAAACAAAACGGTGACGCCCAGTCAAGACGATCTGATCGATAATCAAGATCTATATTGTGATAAAACAAGTCTTACATCGCGAAGCGCATCAAATCACGTGAGCACCTTGATTAAAAACATGAAAAGATTAAGAAAATATCTGTTGACAACGAGTTAGCTGTGCACATGCTCTTGCAAATGCTGCATTCGACTGATCTGCATGACACTTTATGAACCGGATTTCGATTTCGGTGCGCTATTTTGATTGGAATATGCATGGACTCGTTAGTCCAGCCAAATTCTAACTCCATAATACCAGCCTTGTTTGGCAAGGGTGGTAACTGAACTGTTATTGTCAGTTAACTCACTTGCCTCGGGAAGATGCCTACACATCAGAACTCCGGACCTTTGCTGAAGGTCGTCTAACAGTGCGTATGCATCACTCATGGAACCTAGTTCACATTAACCTCTAATAAATGTTATCAATTCCTGATGTGAAGTATTCGACTGTGCACAAACTTTCACAGAATTTCATTTTATTGACATTTAGAACAATCCTGGGACATTACATTATATTGAACCAACGTTTCAATTCATGTACAGAGAGCTACCATATTTTTGTTTTGTACACTGAAATTAATGACATTTGTTGCCAGCCGGGCTCAACCACGGCTGACACGTGACAGAACCGAGTGACTTGGGCAATTGATACACATTTTCAAAAATAATCTGTTTGAGCTGAGACAAATATTATGTATGATGTGTTATGACATGTTACGACAGAGGTGACTAATAGGATCGGGTCGTCAGACTCGCTAATGATGCATGTCATCACATCCCCATTGCTTATATCGGTGCTCTTGATGTTAATCACTGGATTGTCTGGTATGATTTACTAAGCACCGTGATATAGATGAAATATTGCTATAAAAAAAATTAATCCGCATATCTGAGTAAGAAAGTGACATAATGTACACAATATATTGACGACAAGTTTAGTTTGGTACATAGGCATTCACACATATACACCATAAATGATGGCAGAGAGCGACACAAAATGAATTAACAATTAACACAGATTATTTATTAAATCAATTAAATCTAATTTGAATAAACATTACGTTGAGTACAGTCTGTTCCCTGATATCCAGCCGCACATCCACCAACACACAATCCTCCAATGACGTCGCAGCTTGAGTCCGACTTGCAGTGATGTGCAGCACAGGATTGGTCACAGTTTGATCCATAATACCCAGAAGCGCATGCTAGTAAATAGGAACGTCATATTGTTATATACACAATCACCTGGATCTCTTCCTGCAGTGTCAATTAAAAACACATGTCATTATTCATAAGGTCAATTACATCCAATTTGAATAAACATTACCTTGAGTACAGTCTGTTCCCTGATATCCAGCCGCACATCCACCAACACACAGTCCTCCTATGACGTCACAGCTGGAGTCCGACTTGCAGTTGCGTGCAGCACAGGATTGGTCACAGTTCAGTCCATAATACCCAGAAGAGCATGCTAGTGAATAGGAACGTCATACTGTTATCTATGTAGTTACCTGGATCTCTTCCTGCAGTGACGGTTATTGCATCATTGGTTATAGTTATAGGGCCAACAGTAACCATTATGGACATTGTGTCCAATATTTGATTAAAAAGTGTTTTATTTACTCATCCCTGAGGTTTGTAACACATTATGAAACATGGTGGTAGGTCAACATGTGACAAAAGTCACATGTGTAAAGTGTGGCACATGTTCTAATAACAAACTGTTTGGTTACCACAACTGGGCCTGGATCAATCTACCACTACACTGGAACACATAGGTTCTTGATGCCATTAAAAAAAAAAGTTTCGATTTAATAAACATAACTTTGCAAACACCATTAGTAAATGAATACCAATTTAGTTATATGGTGGATATATGGAATATATAGTATAATATAATATAGTTAAGGTTCAATTACAACATGCAATTATCACTTGTGCCAATATTACCATTACAAAGCAAGACGAGATTAGAAGTAACATTGTTCTTATGTTAAACTGACAATACGAGAAACTTGTGCAACAAGGTTTATAAATGTTTATCAGCATATGTTGCTGATGACAATTAAAAGCCTTGTGCATTAAATTTGGGATCGCTGCTCAGATGCACCTGCGAAATACCTTGGTGCCAGCTGCAATTGAATAATCTTGTATTGACTTGAAGCTTACACCACAGTGCAAACCGCTGCAACGCTTGCAAATGGGGATAAACTGGAGCCTTTCCTCTCTAAGATTTTTATTATCCCCCGCCCCAACGAAGATGGCGGGGGATATAGAAATGGGTTCCGTCCGTGTGTGTGTGTGTGTGTGTGTGCGTGTGTGTGTGCGTGTGTGCGTCCCGAAATCGTTTCCGTAACTCAGAAACCGTTAAATATTTCTCAACGAAACTTTGCATGTCTATCATACTCATGCTGAACTGGTGGATTGTGCTATTTAGGAATTTTATAAATGTTTATTTTTTACGTTTCCGTGGCAACAAGTTGGACTTAGGTTCTATAAAGGTGGTGTTCGTTTCCGGAGCCTAACTCAAAAACCATTAAATACTTTCCAACAAAAACTTTGCATGTTTACCAGACACATACTGGCCTGGTGCCTCTTGCTATTTAGGAATTTTAGAAAATTTTATTTTCACGTTTCAATGGCAATAAGTTGGACTTAGGTTCTACAGGGGTGGTGTTAGTTTACAGAGCGTAACTCAAAAACCGTTAAATACTTTCTTACAAAACTGTGCATGTCTACCAGGCACATACTGAACCTGTGCCTTTTGATATATAGCACTTTTAGAATTTTTTATTTTTTATGTTTCCATGACAACAAGTTTGTTTTAAGTTTTAATAAAGGATTGGTTTTCTTAAGGAGTATAACAAATAAACTGTTAAATATTTCCTTGCTAAACATTGCATGTCTATATATAAAGTGCATACTGAACTAGTGCCATTAGATATTAAGGAGTTTTAGAAATGTTTATTTTAGAATTTCCATTGCAGCTATTTTGACATGGGCTAAGAGAAATGTTGGGTCAGTTACCTGGTTTTGGACCATAACGTGTTAAAATGGGCGGGGGATATAGATGACTTTGTCAACTATACGCTTGTTTCAAGATCATAAAACTGGCAACAGAAACATGCTATCAAAGAAGCTGATCCTTTGAAGTTTTGGTTGTGTGGGTGTGTGGGAGGGTAGGGGTTGGTAATTTATTACACAGTTTAGGTAAATACTGTTTGTTCTGGAACATCCTAAATGCCTCATCAAACTGCTTGCATATACCTACATAGCAATATCAGTGAGTTCTGCTATTTTGTCAGCAGGACACTAGTTGTCAAGTGGCCACTTCAGGAAGTCCATTACTTAAAACATGAAGGAAGGTTTGTTGTGTGGCTTGTTGTGGTCCAGTGCCACGCGACAACCATGATTTTAAAGTAGTTTAGCATGACGTAACGTCTGACCTAAATAATTGCGCAATGGCGATTACAACGGATGACCACCATAGTTATTATTCAGATGTTCTAGCATTGAAATAATGTCCATAAACCGCACGAATAATACGCATATATGCAATGGTGTGACAGTAGTAGTGGTAGAATAGAGGTACTATTGCTCAGTAAGATGAAGGGTAATAAAAGCGCAGGCTGTAATTCATTTTCGGTTGTAATTCCTGTATGTAAAGTTTGTCGCAAACATTTCATCGTGATATTCCTTATATATATGTGCTTATAACCAGCAGCTGATCCCTGGTGTTCAAGCCATATCTTATGAGCTTTATGAGGTAACTTACATAGGTTCACTGAGCATTGAGAACCATTGTATCCCTCAGTACATCCCCAGAGACATCGTCCATCAACAGCATCGCAGGTTCCGTTACAGTGGCCGCAGTCTCTTTCACACTTCAACCCGAATTTCCCATTGCCACAACCTAATTTATAGAAAATTAACAGTTGTATATTTGCAGATACACTATACCTTGTATCTTGATATCACACTTTAAAGTTTTGTTTGAGGTAGTTTGCGATACAAACAGTGGTTCCTATTTTGCTTCCATTAACAAAAGGACAATACCGCTTTTAAGAATACAACCATCTACTTTTTCTGGATGGTTCCATTCACCTTTCTGGCACAGGTCAAGTTTCCACCCTGCTTGACATCCCTCTGGACATATTCCAGTAACATGATGACAAGTGTTGTTGTTAGCACAATGGCCACAGGTTTTGTTACAGTTGCTGCCATACGTTCCATTGGGGCACTCTATATTGAAAAACACATCGCAAATCAGTTACATCTCAACCTACAACACTGTGGATACCATAGGATTTCTGTGGCACTTCAGAAGCAAAGTACACGGTGATTCAAACATCATGTCATGCCGTCTAAAGATAAAAGAAAATATGCATGCACTACAATCCTCAATCTTTTGTGAACTTTAAGTCACATAGGTATTCCTCTATAAAGATGCGATTATAGAGATGGGTTATTATTTATGTACTTATCCGCTTGCTTGAATATCCAGCAACATTTAAGTGCAAGCGTAGACTCCAGAACATTAAATACTCACTTTCAAAACATGATGGCACAATTATGAAATATTTATCAAATTTTGTACAAGCACTGTGTGCATTATGCGGGGAAAGCTGCTTTAAAACCATGATAGCATGTAATTGTATCCTAGACAAGTTTCAAATAGTGAGGTTTCTTCATGGACTCAACCTTTAGCTAAAATTTCGTATGATTATTGAAATGGTCTTGTCGCTTTTTTGTCCTCTCCATGTAACAGCATTTTTTAATACATTAATGGTACAATGTATTTTGAGCATCCACGGGAATGTGTTACTAATATGAAACATTAATGAAATGCGTTAAGAAACACATGAAGTAATATGCCTACTTTCGAAACAGTCATTTCCGAAGAAACCACTTTCACAGCCATCGGGACACATGCCAGTCACGTGATCACATGTGTCAGATTGTGTCTTACAGCGACGCCCCCCGCAGGACTTGCTACATCCTTCTCCATATCTCCCAGGATCACAGGCTGAGAGGGATGATGAGCAATGTGTTAACTTCGCTTCATTCTTTATAGTTTCGAAAGCTATATATTTCATGAGATGCACTGATGAAACATGACAATGGGGTGACATACTCCACAGACCCTTATCATGAGTTCAACTAGAGTTTAAATACATTTTAGCATTTATTGCATTTATCAAGTGTAGAACTCTCTTCGTGTAAATAAAGAAACGACTGGCTTCGTGATTAACTTCTATGATTTGGGAATTGATATGGTTGGAGTAAGACTGCATTTATACGCAAAATATGTTCTCAACAGCATTTATACTTTGACACCTGAACAATTGGTCATGTCATTCTTACAATAGTAATTGACGACAACTGTAATACAGCCTCGTTAATAGTTCAGCCATGAAGCGGTTTTATTATTTAGACAATAATAATTATATTGAACACATACTGCCAGTATGTGGGACTCTGAACTGATCCATTTGGGGCTTCATTTATTTTTCACCGTTAGTTTGTGATTTGCGCCATATGGAAACTTGTAATTTTCTGACAAGTGTCACCTACACACCAGAACTCCGAACGTTTTTCATCTGACCACTCATTTAAAATAGGGGTTTAACCTTTCGCAAATGCTATCAATACTCGATATCAAATATACGGCTTCGCACAAACATTCATTGCGTTTTATTCTTTTGTCATTTCGAAAGATCCTGGGACTCTATTGCCATAACGACCCCAAACATTTTACGATCGGACATTTAAGTGTCAGTTATTCATGGCGATATTACCTTGAACCTACATTTCAGACCTATGTTATGGTTCATTTTTACACTGATGTTAATTACTTCAATTATTTTAGGAAAAACATTTGTTGCCAGCTGAGACCAACCAATGCTGACGCGTGACAGAACCGAGTGACATCGGCAATTAATATACATTTTCGAAAATAATCCTTAGGAGCTTAGTAAAAAAGTATGTATGATGTGTTACAATATGTTAAGGCGACTATTCTTGTCGTAAGAGGCGACTGACGGGGTCGGGTCGCTGTTAATGCATGTCATCACATCCCGATTGTGTAGTTCAGTGCTCGTGATAACAATAACTGGATTCTCTGGTACAGTCAGGTTTCTTTACTGACCGCCGTAATATAGCTGGAATATTATTAAACAATAATATGTATTTATTTTCTAATCCGCATATCTGAGTACGAAAGTGCGTAATGAAGACTATATCTTGACGATAATTTTAGTTTGTTTTATACACATTCATACATATGTGTAGGACATGGTCCGAAAATTCACGATTATTTTTTCACGTGGGGCGAGTTCGAGGCCGTCAAGAACTGCGCGCATGAACGCGCTAAAGTTCGAGCAAACCTATTGGAGCCCTCGTCTAATAAGAGCGCGGAAAAAATAGGGCAACTTTGTTGTTGTCTTTCTTTAATTCATTTAATTTCTAATGTGTCTCCGTTTCATTTACCTCAGAGGACAGAAATCATGGTTGTTTTATTGTGTTAACACAAATACAGAGCGGTTGGTGTATTTGGTGTTTAGCTCCTTTTTTGCAAACAGAATTTCAGTTATATCACGGCGGCATGTTCATTGAAGAAGAGTAAGTGAGTGAGTGAGTTGGGTTTAATGCCGCTTTTAAGATTATTAATGTGGGAGGAAAGCCCGAAGTTATGCATGTCTCAGACCTTTATTACCCACGTGGTGAAGATACAGGTGGTAAGATACTACGACACGTGTGTCGTACAAGGTTGACCTTGTTTATTCGTTTTGATTGGATAACCGTGACCTCTGTCACACCGGGACTACTTTTTTCATTCATAAAGAATCGCGAGACATCATTCATTTCATTCGTCACCAGTCGCCCCTTTCGGTAACCCGCAAGAATACTCGTCCCGCTATCGGTGAATGTTATGTGCGAAAATACGACAAATGTCTTGCATCTAAAAATATACCCAAGACACAGTTGAATGCGTTAAATCATACTGTATAATTCCGCATGTCCCGATGTGCTATAAATTGAATCTGAAATATACATTTGTATATAATATATGGGGAAATATATGTGAACCATTACGCAACGAGTTGACAATTGTTTTAGGTATGCCCGGTCACAAAAATGGCCACGATAGGGACACGAGTCGCCATTCGGCTTGTCCCATTCATTTTGCAACCACATGGCAGAACTGACGAAATTAATGAGAACTAGTGATATATACAAACACTTGATTAAACCAAACAAAATAGTCACACACATCAAATTCGGTTTGCATTATATATAAGTTATGGATAGACCTTCTACAGGCATTATATAATCGAGCTATATCCATTTACAATGTACGACTACCGATCAATAGAGCGAGGGCCCCCCATGAGCGTGACGCACCCGACCACTTTCGCAAATTTCAATTTTATTTAACGTAAAAGGATAAGCGTGGTGAAATGAAGTATGTTTAAAACTATCTGGACAGATTATTTTACTTAATTGGGATGATCCGGTTGAGCCATCAGTGTCCCCTTCGAAGCGTATTTTGTGGCCCTGTTTCGGGAGGTGTTGTTCATGAATGAACGTACACGACTGCACTACCAAATCACCAAAAGTGAACAGTTCTGATACAAATCATTCGAAAACTCCGTGGAAGTGTGCCTGACTTCTGATTTTGTGGCCCCAAACATCCAAAATGTGAACAATAACATTCCCTATCTCTGGCGTAAAACGCTGTGAGTAGACCTAGATCACGGCTGTCTTTTCTTATTCCGGTGGTGACCTTGCCCTTCGATCGTTCGAAACTGTCACTGACATGCAAGCAGACTTGAGTTTGTTGATTTTCACGTCTTCAGTATAGGATGGTACAGTTAACATGAATGTCTTTGGCGAACACTCTGATTTCCCTCTTCCAAAATGGTACGAACATGATATAAATTCAGCTGATAGATCAAGGAAACCGAACAATTTTGATTGCACAGACGGGACACCGGCAGTGCGAGTGACCGATATTCAAAGCGCGTCGCGAATTAGACTGGTTCCCGTTCGTTCATGCGACAGACTGGAACGTCCTTTGATTGGAAAGCGGAACAAGAGCAGCGACACCAAGCGGAGGATCCGGAAACCAGTCTAGTCGCGAATGTGACTTTTCAAAATTTCAACATCGCGCTTGAATTACCTCAAGTTGAAGAATTTCTTCCATAAGGATCTTGAGCGTAGGTGCTGTTTTGTTTGCAAACACAACTGCAGGGGCATGTTGTTTAAGCGTATGCATAGACATGTCAACAATGCCCATATTTGGGCCATATATCAATATTCATGCGCAACCAGATTTTGCAACCGGTTTCAGTTTGGTCGGTCAACGAATGAAAGTTGTTATGTATTTATACTTAAATATATTTTTAATGTGGGTATTATATAAAATAACACACTTATTCTCGTTAGATACCATTTTTACGAAACGCGTGAACTTTCCATGGTATCTGCCCTCGCTTTCGCTTGGTCAGATACCATAGAAAGTCCACTCGTTTCGTAAAAAATGGTATCTAACGAGAATGAGAGTAGCATTCTCTATTTACCACTTCGGTGAAACCCACGAGCACGGGTATGGTGCTGACAAACCTAGAAACAATATCGGGGCGAACCGTGATTCAAACCCACCATCATAGGTTTCTGGCGTACCCAAGGGACGCAATTCTGCACAGCGAATCGCAGCGCCATAGACGACTGGGCCACCAGTGTCCCCCCATGGCAGAAGAAAAGCCTGCAAAGCCACTGTGGTTATGTGTTGCAGGTTAACGTTCGAACGTCGACTGGTATATGCAAACCAATGATGAGTGTAGTTCCTTAACTGATTGAGAGGGTGCGTTTCTATGTTTTGTCTATCAAAGATCATAAACACGGTTCGACTAACGTGATCGGCTAATGGAGTATAAAACTATTGGAGGGTGAACATTAGTTGATTTGGAGGGTGAACATTAGATGTTAACTATTGGAGAGTTTATCTGCAATACACCGACTTCTGGAGGATTACAGCATGTATACGCACGACGCAGTTCACGCAGCATTCATGTGACTTCGATTTCACGGCGATGAATCAATTAAAAACACATGTCTTTATTCATTACGTCCATTACATCTAATTTGAATAAACATTACCTTGAGTACAGTCTGTTCCCTGATATCCAGCTGCACATCCACCAACACACAGTCCTCCTATGACGTCACAGCTGGAGTCCGACTTGCAGTGACGTGCAGCACAGGATTGGTCACAGTTTGATCCATAATACCCAGAAGCGCATGCTAGTAAATATATTTTTTCGAAAATAATCCTTAGGAGCTTAGTAAAAAAGTATGTATGATGTGTTACAATATGTTAAGGCGACTATTCTTGTCGTAAGAGGCGACTGGCCGGGTCGGGTCGCTGATAATGCATGTCATCACATCCCGATTGTGTAGTTCAGTGCTCGTGATAACAATAACTGGATTCTCTGGTACAGTCAGGTTTATTTACTGACCGCCGTAATATAGCTGGAATATTGCTGAGTGCGATGTTAAACAATAAAACATATATATTTTCTAATCCGCATATCTGAGTACGAAAGTGCGTAATGAAGACTATATCTTGACGATAATTTTAGTTTGTTTTATACACATTCATACATATGTGTAGGATATGGTCCGAAAATTCACGATTATTTTTTCACGTGGGGCGAGTTCGAGGCCGTCAAGAACTGCGCGCATGAACGCGCTAAAGTTCGAACAAACCTATTGGAGTCCTCGTCTAATAAGAGCGCGGAAAAACCATAGGCATAAACTTTGTCGATGTCTTTCTGAAATAAATTTAATTTCTAATGTGTCTCCGTCTCATTTACCTCAGAGGACAGAAATCATGGTTGTTTTATTGTGTTAACACAAATACAGAGCGGTTGGTGTATTTGGTGTTTAGCTCCTTTTTTGCAAACATAATTTCAGTTATATCACGGCGGCATGTTCATTGCAGAAGAGTGAGGCAGTGAGTGAGTTGGGTTTAATGCCGCTTTTAAGATTATTCCAGTTATATCACGGCGTGTCAGCTTAATGTGGGAGGAAAGCCCGAAGTGATGCATGTCTCAGACCTTTACCACTTCTGTGAAACCCACGAGCACGGGTATGGTGCTGACAAACCTAGAAACAATATCGGGGCGAACCGTGATTCAAACCCACCATCATAGGTTTCTGGCGTACCCAAGGGACGCAATTCTGCACAGCGAATCGCAGCGTCATAGACGACTGGGCCACCAGTGACCCCCATGGCAGAAGAAAAGCCTGCAAAGCCACTGTGGTTATGTGTTGCAGGTTAACGTTCGAACGTCGACTGGTATATGCAAACCAATGGTGAGTGTAGTTCCTTAACTGATTGAGAGGGTGCGTTTCTATGTTTTGTCTATCAAAGATCACAAACACGGTTCGACTAACGTGATCGGCTTATGGAGTATAAAACTATTGGAGGGTGAACATTAGTTGATTTGGAGGGTGAGCATTAGTTGTTGACTATTGGAGAGTTTATCTGCAATACACCGACTTCTGGAGGATTACAGCATGTATACGCAGGACGCAGTTCACGCAGCATTCATGTGACTTCGTTTTCACGGCGATGAATCAATTAAAAGCAAATGTCTTTATTCAGTACGTCAATTACATCTAATTTGAATAAACATTACCTTGAGTACAGTCTGTTCCCTGATATCCAGCCGCACATCCACCAACACACAGTCCTCCTATGACGTCACAGCTGGAGTCCGACTTGCAGTGACGTGCAGCACAGGATTGGTCACAGTTTGATCCATAATACCCAGAAGAGCATGCTAGTAAATAGGAGCGTCATATTGTTATCTATGTAGTTACCTGGATCTCTTCCTGCAGTGGCGGTTTTTGCATCATTGGTTATAGTTTTGTTCATAACATCCAGAGTGGCATGCTGGACTATTTATCAGTCATCTATTAATGCCACTATTAAGTAAAGTGTACATGTAATAATAATTGTTTATTTAATGTGATGCACAGGACCAACTGTCATCATTATGGACATTGTGTCCAATATCTGGTTCAAAAGCCTTTTATTTACTCATCCCTGAGGTTTGTAACATGTTATGCAACATGGCGGTCGGTCAAAATGTGAAAAAGATCACATGAGTAAAGTGTTGCACATGCTCCAAAAACAAACTATGTAGTTACCACAACTAGGCTTGGATCAATATACCACTACACCAGTACACATCGGTTCCCCATGCAAATGCAATATATATAGAGTCTTAGGTACTATCGAATAAATAAACATACCTTTACAGACACCATGAGTAAATACGTACAAATGTTCAAGTATTATTGACAGAAACAACTACATGTATCCCTTCAGGTGATAACAAACGTGGTCAATGAAAATTTGAAATAACTGTAGGTGATGACTTTCCATTTATGTTGTCTTTCCTAATCTGCTACATATTGTTTTACTTGCAGAGATTTTCTCATAAACCACGTGTGCTATAACAATGCTATCAGCTGTACACGCGTTTTCTCCCGAGCTACCGATGATTCGCTTAGAAAATACCCAAATATAATGTTTTTAAAAAAAATGATGCAATGATCCCAAGAATTCTCTCTGAAACTGTTATTTTATCCAGAATTATATGTTCCAGTATCATGTCATTGTAGTTGCAGCTTAACTATATACATTTACAATACCAATAACCTATTGTCAGTAATATTTTAAGTATGGAACAATTTGACCAGTCACTGTTGAGGCTCCCGCGCTGTAAATAACGCTGAGTTGGTGCGAAATTTCACTACGTTTTTAGGAAAATCACTAATATAGATTAGAAATATAAGTACGCTGAAAAATCATCATCATATCAAATTACCAGAAGAAACATAGTAGTCCGACTCGATACAACTATCTTGGGGGTTTGGGGACATAAGGTAATTGAACACAGTTCTCCAAAGCGACGTGTGGGATGTGGTTGGTGAATCCTTCCCAACTAGTTCACACATAATAAACAACAAAGATATACTCACTGACGAAGAAAAAACTGAAAAGTTGGATACGTAATATCAGTTTGTAAAATATATAAAGTTGTATTTTACTGTAAAATGACACAATATTATTACTTGGTATTTTTAAAAAAAGAAGCTTCTTGAATATATTTACTAATTCACGCCCAACAGGATACTTACTCCACACCTGTACTTCAACAAAGTCAAATACAGGACCATATACATCATTAGCAGTCTCTGTGTAGAGAGTCAGGTAGCGCCAGGTCCCGGGACAGGTGACATTCAGCACATCAGGGATGTCTGTACCGTCAGCACGTCCTGATACATTGTGACATATATTTCCTTCTTTGGGATCAGAGGAATTTGTCATAGATGTGTAGAGCTGCACGCCATTACGTCTTGACTTGTCTGAAACAAGTATAAATATATACTTTACTTAATGTAGGACATACTCATTAATGAAACTGTACTGTCTTCCCCAAACGTGATGTAGGTTCTAGCAGCCATCAGTTTACCGATCCAACACTAAGGCACAGTCTTATAAAGTGTTTGACAAAATTGAGATTCAAGGTTTAAAAATTAATTACTTCTCCGCACTTCTGTGTGCATGGATGGATTTGGTAAAAGGCTACAACAAAACAAAACAAAGGAATTACTCCTTATGCAATTTGGAAAACACAGTTGTACGTGGGCACTTATACTACCGCGTGGTGGACTATAACTTTTGTATAAACCTGAATCATCCAAGCATAGCATTAATACTGAAAGAAGCGTCAGAGCAATAATTAAGTTCAGTAAACATCTTTAAAATACTACGTGGAGATTTTAAGGGGGCATCATAGAATTAACACGAGGTTTCTGGGCCTTCCTTTAGAATACAGTACCATAAACTTTTCAATCACGTGACAATACCCTATGACTTAATTTGTTATATTTTGTTGCCAGTCACACAGGCGAAACAATGCTATGTGACGTTAGGGGTCATTGATAGATGGTGATATACATATATTATTTTTTCGGTTCATTGATTTTCATAATTTTGCACACGAATGCACTTTATTAGAGATATCATATATTGGCGCTGAACACATCCAAATGTCGCCAGTGTTAGGGCAGGTTACCCAGAACTCTGTCCTTAGCCTTCGGATCCCCTTTACGATCAGGGGGCACGGGTGGCCCAGTCGTCTTAGGCGCCGCGATTCGCTGTGCAGAGTTGCGTCCCTTGGACACACCAAAAACCAATGATTGTGGGTTCGAATCCCGGTTCGCCCCGATTATGTTTCTAGGTTTGTCAGCACCATACCCGTGCTCGTGGGTTTCACCGAAGTGGTAAACGTCTGAGACCTGCATCACTTCGGGCTTCCCTCACACATTAAGCTGACATGCCGTGATTAACTGGAATACTGTTAAAAGCGGCGTTAAACCCGACTCACTCACTCACTCACCCTTTACGATCAAGCACCCCTTAACAATCATTAGGGTTAGGTACCTGTTTAGTGGCATTTAGATTACCCGAACTCTATCCTTAGCCCTTGGATCCCCTTTACGATCGATCACCCCTTTACAATCATAAGGGTTAGGTGCTCGTTTAGCGGCTATTATAGATTATATAGCGGCTCATAATATTCTTCACACAAAAACGTCGAGTAAAAAGGATGAAATGGTTTTGTGTCGAATATTTTGGCTACTGGAAACTGTCCTGGAACATTCATACAAGACACTTTCACTGGCTACATTTTTTCAGTACTGATTCAAAAGCTGACTCACTGTTGTGTCATCACTGGCCATACTTATTCTTCCCTCGTTCCTTACTATTATCCACATCATCCTTACAGTGTTCCCTAACACACTTTTCTGTCACAAAAACGTAAACATAAGCTTGAGCTGATGGTATATCAATAGTCATTAAAATCGAAATAATCGCCCAATTTTGAATTTCAATACACATATCCAGAAAAAGACTGCGATTTCATTGTGGTCAGGTTTCTAATATAATGATAGGTACATTCATGGCGTTCCAGGAACCAAGGATTGTGTTTACTAAATTAATATCAAATGCGAAAATGAATCTATACGTACAGTCTGTTCTGAAGTACAGGGTAACCAGTGCTGACTGTACTTGTGTTTGTAGATCCACCTTCCACCAGGCGCTTTGTTTACCCAGCTGGGTGATGACTGAGTATCTAATATCGTCCGCAAGCGTTACTCCATCGACAGCTGTACTGGCGTGAGGACTCAAGTAGAAGCGTGTGCTCATCCATGCGGGTTTGTTCTGAGCAACGTTTGTTCCAGTACCTGACCAATAAGAAAAATGGTAAATCAGCATAGGAAAGATGATAAGAACAGCAGGTGATGCTGGTAATGATAACTGGTGTTCGTTTGTATTTGCCCATGTATGTATGTATGTTTCCATTAGTAACATTTACAACTAAGCCCTAAAAATGAAGTCATCTCTACAAGCATGGGGTGAAGTACCATACGATTTTATGAACAATAACTCTTCACACGTCTCAACATGCCATCCTATTGCTAAATGTTAAGCTTCATTCTACATATTTTCCGTAAACGATAAATGTTCACCTTGTTCTTTCAGTATGTCATCATTCCTTGAGGAAGCAAATCTTTATCAGAGTTTTACCTGTGATGTACATTTGAAAGTTGTACCATTAACTTGGTGATACTATATCAAGTTGGTCATTATAACTTATACAGTATGTGGATAAGGAGGATTACTCAGAAATAATGATTCCAGTCAATGTGCTTAATGACTAAAATATGATTTTTTTCATTTAGCTTGGTTCTTTGTTTGGGTTAATCCATTTAATAATAAAAATTGTAACAAGCAGGGAATCAGCAAAACTCACTACTCTACACTCTACCCTTGTTATAAGCTGTTGGGTCGTAGAGATACCCATGCGTTCGTTTTCACCAAATAACCACAGCGTTGCATTTTAAAAAAATACAGATGTGTCCGTGCATGTACAAAAGTCCGCACCAACGATTTATACGTCGAAAAAACGAATAAACACATGAAAATTGTCTACCTACTGAGCCTAGAACAGAAGAACTGGAAACACTTGTGAAGTCAAGCAACGTTGGTCACGGAGTTTTAACCTTTCGGCAATTTGGTTCCCGAGAATTTCTCGAGTTTCGAATCCCACACTGAAGCACATGTAACACACGTGGCGCTTCTTTGGGCAAATGTCTTTGTTTGAAATCTGCCTGTGTTGACCCAGTAGTAAATGGGTACCCGGTACACAGGCAGCTCGGGTTGTGAGAAAGATTATTTAGTGCACGTTGATCCATTGACCAGTGCGGTGTGGAATTATGCACAATATAAATAGCCTGTTATTATTATCAGTATTATTAATAATATCATTATTATGTACAGATTAAAATAAACAATGCAGCAAAGAGGGTTTGGGTGATCCGGACACAGCCAAGCTTGTTAGACTCATCATCAGCTCAGGGCCCTTGTCCCCTGCAGCCTTCTGCATCACTAAGATTGTCAGAAGGGCTTTATTTCTGGTAGCAAACCCGGGTACTCTCCCAATGTCAGTCAACAGGCTACAAACCTAAGGCACTGAGAACAATGGGGAGTCCGACAACTTGGTACTTGGGATGCAAGCGTGACATTTCGAAAGCAAGGTCTGCATATTAGCCATGTTTTTTCCTGAATGTTGTCAATCACATTAGTGTCAAAAGTGACAGAAAATTCAGTGACATAAATGATTGTTCACGTTTGTTGGCCTGGATACGTCTTGGGCTGTATGCGGGCCTATTTCAAAGGATTTTGTAGTCATCATTTTCCATGACGCCCTCTACATATTCTGGGTCGTACCATGGATGGACCTCTGTGTTCAAACCACAAGCATTGCGAAGACGGTAATAAAATGATTGAGCCCACTCAATCATGTCGTTTAAGATACTGTGTTTGTGCCAAGCTGGGCATCCACTGACAATGTGTTGAACAATCTCATTAAATTCATTATATAATCTACGTTTCATATTTACATTTGATGCAAAATCACACAAAGACGGTTTCGAGGGGGAATTATTGTGATTATTTTCTACACAATGGTGTCTTTTTGAAGAAAATATATGTGCAACCTAACCCAACCACTTGGCAGTTTTTGTATTTATCTTGCTTTCAAACACCGTGAATGTTACATACTACGGTTATAACGAACTCAAAGGGACCGCTAATTGTGGTTCGTAATAACCTCAGTTCGTTGTAAGGATATATAAAGCATATTTACAACAAATGGCCGGGACTAAAGATAAGTTCGTAATATCGGTCAGTTCTTTATAAGCGTGTTCGTTTTATATGTAGTTTACGGTAGTATGCAAACCAGAGTAGGATGATATCATCTATTCCATCTGTAATAAAACTTTTATCAGTCCACAATCAATACTTTCTTGAACTATCTAATTTATTATCCGTGGGGACACTGGGTTTAAAAAAAATGTCCATCAATCCATGGTGGTTGTAAGAGGAGGCTGAATGGATTGAGAGGTCAGACTCGGTGATTTGGTTAATAACGTTTAATCGTACTCCGACGGCGTGGATTGTTGTTCACAATATCAATAACTGGTTTGTAGCTCGATTATTTACAGGCCGTCGTCAGAGAGCTGGAATGTTGCAGAGTGCAAAAATAGGCCGCAAATACCATCACTCAATCTGCTATTGTGTATATACCGGCTGGTTTGGCTTATACGACCAATGTAATCTGTTTCAGAGGATAATGGACACTATTATAATTCTCTGTTGTTGACGTTATTTATTTCTAAACTTGTTTTACTTGTAGAATTAGGAACAGTTTAACACGTGCAGTATTCGTCATTAATTCCTACAAAATATAGCTAAGCTTAATTCTACCTTAACGAAAATATATAAAACCAATGCTCAATGTGTGGTATTCTTGGTTATTCTCAAAACAAAGAGCGGAAGACAAACATAATATCATCTGTTTAACCTTCATTTTCGAAAATCTGCCTGACACTCATTTATTATGTCATGTAATGTATCCTTGATTCAAGGATAGATTAAACCCAATGTCATTTACTAAATATCTAGAGAGTCCACTGTAATTATATGATCATAAACATCCTTTCTCAATGCAACGGGATAATCATTCCTCCATGTCATCTATCACTGTAGACCTAATTGTCTAATTCAACATTAAAACTTTTTCTGAATAAGTTTGATTCATTAAACACTGATGATATGCTATCCATACAAACGAATTTGCTCATGTTAAGAAAATGAATTGATTTTTCATTGTCACCTCTGCCTATTGGTCCTGAGAGAACTAAAACTCATTCCCGCTTTGACGCTGCAGGACATCATTAGACTTTTTGCCAACACCTAGTGTCATTACTGGTCCGGGGCGGTCGGGTAGCCTAGTGGTTAAAGCGTTCGCTCGTCACGCCAAAGACCCGGGTTCGATTCCCGACATGGGTACAATGTGTGGAGCCCATTTCTGGTGTCCCCCGCCATGATAATTCTGGAATATTGCTAAAAGCGGCATAAAACCATACTCACTCACTCATTACTGGTCCATTCAATTCATGTCCACATATATTTTGCCTTTCATTGGCGTACATGTACTGAGTCACAAAAGAGATGCAAATGTAGTTCCATTCAATGAACTGTATTTCAGGTGAGTGTTCAGTGTACTTGTAGGACGATATACAGACAAATAGAGATTACTACACGAGTGTCTATCAGATACCATTGATCTTACAACGAGTTGTTTCAAAACGTATCTAACGAGCGAAATTGTATTATTACAATACCTCTATTACATGTCAAGCATCATATTAGTTATCCAATAATTATATAATGCGCTGTACAGCTGTAAATTATATTGTTTATCTGTATGTGTATATGGGCCAATGGCCTTTCATACAATAAAGATTGATTGATTCACAGACACGAGTAAAGTAATCTGTTTCTTGCTTTTTGTATATTCTCATGATCGCAGTGGCGCATTAATACATAACACCATTGTCATAAGTGACGACGTCCCATGTACTGCTTACTACTCATAAATAATGTGATCTTACACAAAATGATTTCCGCCATGTCTGTGGACTATCAAGTTGATGAAGATATTGCAATCAAGACAAAACAAAGAACATACTGGATGCCGAGTTAAAAGTTTACATCTCAAAGAAGTTACCAAATATGTACAGAATATTTTACTTCCGTATGACATCAGTACCGGTGACCGACTTTTGCAAAATGGCGTGTTCACTGACAACAGTACGCGGGATTTCCAGAGGAACATATTCGTTGATTGAGGGATCGTATATACATAAATGTGTCACGTAAGTAATCAGAAACATTCTGACAATCTGCGTACTGTTATTTGTTTACCATTTTTTCCAATGTAACAAAGTGAATTTGTCAGAAATGCATATTACTACCGTCGTCGTTGTGCGTGATTTAGAGTCAGTCATGGCGTCACAAGGACGGAAACCTTTCGGTTTCTATTGAATTTACCACATCATTGTAATGCATATAGTTGGAATTCAATTAACAGTGCAACGATACTCTTCCCATGAATATTCTCAAACGCGTGATCGAGCCAATGTATGCAACAATTAGACGAAAATACCTCTAAACATGCAACACAGTGTAAAATCTGAATATTTTGCTTTGTTTACATTTCAGCAAGTACAGTTTTCCGAGCACAGTGTTCGTTTCCACGCCTCATTTATTTCACATGATTTCATCTAGATAATTTGCATTGGTGACACATTTGTCATTAGTTTCTTAAATATATGAGGAAGTCAGGGATGCATGTATAGCATCTGAGTTTGAAATATACCTGATCGAATAGGCGTCTCATAACCGGCATTTTGTAAACACAATCCAATATGGCGGAACGTACACATCGGCGTTCGTGTATGCGTATTTTCCAAAACATTCTAAACGATTAGCCACGTTTCAGAATTATCATACCCGTGGTCACTAATATGCTATTGTTCTACTTTAATTATCCGAGTAAATATCCACTATTTAGATTTCTAAACACACAGTAAATAACGCCGTGAATTGTGATTTGGCTAGATTTACAACGTACCTATTTTTCAGAAGTCACTTTCAGTAATTTAGCTTTGCCTAAAATGACAGCAAATGATAAACAGAAGTGTGAATTCAAAACTGCCAAGTGTATTAGTTTGCGTGATGTATTTTGAATTTTATTCCACTTCGAAGTGAGGGTTGAAGAGGAGGGACATATGTGTCCCTGTTGCATCTAGGGGGTGAATTACACTCTAAAAAATAA